TTTTTTTGGTGCAAAATAAAAATACATATTTTTTAAATGATGGAAAATTACTTGTTATACTGATTTTTTTTTTTCAACCCTGAAAGTTTTTTTAATGCCAAACTCATTTTAAGGCTGAAAGATATGTAATCCTGTACATAAATCACAGTACACTTTACTTCAAAATTTCACATTTAATTCAAAGTTACTTGCCACTCGTTCATTTACTTACTGTTACTTGCCATTTATTTTTAATTATTTGTGAAACGTACTAAATTTATGAGTGAAAATTGTTTCAAAGGACATCCTACACAAATGTTTTCTAGTGTTGAAAAATGTATTGTTATAAAAAATATTAATCTTCTGACTTTAGTTTTTTAGGCCATATTCACAAAAAAATTATGATTTTATTAAAAAATCTAACTATTAAAGAATATATATTAAACAAAATAAGAAATATATTGTAATTACATTTGTACTGTAAAAGAAAAAAGGTAATACTGTAAAATTAAAATGCTACTATTTAAATCTTAATTTTTATTTTTATTTTGAGGCCAAATATAGTTATTTAATTAAATCACAATCTGGGCGATTAAGCCATATCACAGTGTCTATTTTATTTCAATATTTCATGCAGTCCTACTGGAAATTATTTAAAAAATACAATCTGAATGTTTTTAGAAATGTGAAATTCAGCTACATGATTGAGTATTACTCAGATTCTCCTTTTCTCTTTCAATCAGCAAATTGAATCGCGCACATTGACCATTGCCCACAACCTCAGCCAGCAGCTTCAGAGCACATGTCTGGTCTTGGTGTCCAGCTTCAAAGGTCTCCCTCAGCACATCCAGGTCCAGGCCGTCTCCGTCAGCCACTCTGCCATGGAGATCTACAGCAGCTTCAGTAAGGCTGCCGCTATAGGAGATCTGTCCAACAGCGTCCTCACCACCAGTCGATCCCAGCTGAGCAGAATAAGAGATTCCATGGATAACGTCATGGACTACCTGCTCAACAATACACCTCTCAATTGGCTGGTAGGGCCATTTTACCCACGTGCGGAACGCGGGGCTGCAAACGGCCCTGAATGTGACAAACCAAGGACCCTTCGAGTCACTGAATGAAGACCGGTGAAATTTCAGAATATTAACCATTTGTTTCTATCTCACAAATACACGTACAGTCACACATTCCTGCCAGTAAAATCCTTCTCTACTTTGAAAGCAGTGATACTTTCTGTGATAACAATTATAACTAATAATACACAGAGTTTTACTGAATAATGCTGCTGAAATATCTTAACTTTACTATTCTAAACCTGCATATGCCTAATCATTTTAGGTATAAATAGTGCCTTTTTACACAGTTTAATTTGCTGTTAATTTGTTTATTGTTTTTGTACATTTTTAATAAAATAATACATTTACAATACTCTTTTTGTTGTGTGTGTTGTTTTGAGGATGGAAATTTCACCTTGATAATATTTTTATTTAAACCTTTCACTTAGACAATGCACTGTGACAATGTCTTTTTTTCTGATAAATACAATATTTTAGATAAAATGGTTTAAAACGTCATTAATGCACCAAGCATCTTAAATATAACAAGGGTGAAGTCATATACTGCCCAGATAGTATACGTCTGCAAGATGCCTGGACATCATCTGCTGTGTACAAAGATCTGATAAATGTCTTTAAGATGTCAGTTTTTACATACATTCTGAATCATAAACGTCTTAAAGACATTTTCTAAAT